GTTGGACTCATTAAGTCTCTCCCCCGCCCGCCCAGAGACCCGCGTTCCCCGCCGGGCAGAGCCCGCCGCCCCACGCCCCGGCCGGAGGGCTGAGCCCCGCTGCGGGACACGGGGCACCTCGCCCGCCCGGAGCCCGCCCGCCCGCGGAGCGCCAGTCCCCCGCCAGGCAGAGCGGTACCGTGTCTCCGGGCTGCCCGCGTCCGCCAGCCGCTGCCCCCCGGCCGAGCTCCGGAGCGCGCTGAGCTGAGCTGAGCTGAGCTCTCCCCCGCCCCGGGGCTGGCACTGGCAGTAACCCTGCGCCGGATGCGTGGCCTCCCTCCACCCCTTCCCCCTCATTGGTGCGAGCCAGAGAGTGGAGGAAAAAAACCGAAGTTTGAGGGGTGGACTCGGTTTCCCGTTATCCGGTTCCTGGAAGGTGGATTCTTCCTGCAAACTTTCCCTCGGCCCCCTGGCAGCATCCTCCAGCCCGCCCCCGTCCACGCCTCTCCCCACGTGGCGCAGGCCGGGCGAAGAAAACCTGGCGTCTCGTTCCCCCGGGGAAAGGTGCGCCCGAAACTCAGCCACTGGCCCCGGCCCCGGCCCCTATTGCTCGGGAAACATCAAACCCCGCCGGCTGCGGTGGATTCTGCCTTCCCCAGCCAGGGGGGAAACTGTCCTGAGAGTTCGTGCCGCGTCTGGGGGGGTTACCAGGTTCTCAGCCGGCCACTCACCACAGCTGGGGGGACTTGAACGTGCCGATCCCGTTATTACTCCTCACTGCTGCTGTTTGCTTTCGTCGTCTGCGCTTCCCCCTGCTGCAGGACAGGGGCCACTCCACTGCCTGCTTCTCCTGCCCTGTTTGGCTGCAGCCGTCTCAGGGGAAGGCAATCCTGTTTTCAGTTAGATACAGACACAATGTATAGTTTTGTGATTTATTTTAATGGCTTTTAATCTCTCCCTGACAATTGCCCCTTAATTCTTGGTCACTGATCAGGACTGTGCACAGTGCGGGAGGAAAAGCTATCTTCGGGTATGTCTACACTACGGGATTAATCCGAATTTAGATAATTCGAATTTGGGAAACAGGTTGTA